CTTGTGGACTATTCGCGAAGAAATATGGATGTCACACTATCTGTAGGAGGTAAATATTTAATCCATAAACCTTGCCTATTAAATTTAGAATTATTAAATAGTATGTAGTGTTTTTTTTCTAAAGATTTTTTTCTTGTGGACTATTCGCGAAGAAATATGGATGTCACACTATCTGTAGGAGGTAAATATATAAACCATAAACCTTGCCTATTAAATTTAGAATTATTAAATAGTATGTAGTGTTTTTTTTTCTAAAGATTTTTTTTCTCTTGTGTACTATTCCCGAAGATATATGGATGTCACACTATCTGCAGATCTGTAGTAGGTAAATATTTAATCCATAAACCTTGACTATTAAATTTAGAATGATTAAATAGTATGTAGTGTTTTTTTTCTAAATATTTTTTTCTCTTGTGTACTATTCCCGAAGAAATATGGATGTCACACTATCTGTAGGAGGTAAATATTTAATCCATAAACCTTGCCTATTAAATTTAGAATTATTAAATAGTATGTAGTGTTTTTCTAAAGATTTTTTTTCTCTCTTGTTTACTATTCCCATCGTATTTTCTAATTGAAAACAACAACAACAACAACGACAAAAACAGATAGAATAGGTTAAATGCGTAGTTATGATAACAATGAGAATAACAAATATAACAGTTATACTGATAATGGCAGTAAGGAAAGAAAAAAAATATGAATTGTGTAAAATTATAATAACAATGGTATTTATTGTGATATCAGTAATGTTTATGATAGTGAAGATACAATGGTGCAAAAATGATGGTGGGAATGGTAATAATGATGATGATAATGATAATGATAATAATGATGATGATGATGATGATGGGAATGGTAATAATGATAATGATAATGATAATGATAATAATGATGATGATGATGATGGGAATGGTAATAATGATGATGAAAATGATAATGATAATAATAATAATGATGATGAAAATGGTGATGTTAATAATAATGAAAATGATAATGATAAGCATAATAATAACATTGATGATGATAATAATAATGATGATGATTATGTAAATGATGATGGTGATGCTACGAATAATAGTGATAATGATAATAGTAATGAAAATATTGATAATATCAGTAATAATAATAATAGTGGTAATGAAAATAATAGTAATAATAATGATAATAATAATAATGATTATTATTACTATTATCATTATTATTAGTAGTAGCAGCAGTAGCAGTAGTATTGTGATTATTATTAATTATATTATTATTATTTATTATTATTATTCATTATTATTATCATATTTTTATTATTATTATCATCGCAATCATTACTAGTACTGGCATCATTATTATATGATATAGTGATAATGATAATTATTATAATTATTTGTTAGCGTTTATATCATTACTGAATTGATGACAATTGGATGATAATACAACAGCAACAACGACAATGGTAATAACAACAACAGTATTAATATCAATTATAATGATAATAATGAAAATATAAATTATAATTACAGTGCCAATAACAATACTAATGTAATGATTATTGCAATGAAAATAATGTCGCTATAGTTTCACAGTTAAACAAAATTCAGCAAATATATATTTTTCGCTAATGTTTAGGTCGCATTCTGTCGGAGTATATTCAGTTTATGTAATAAAGAATATTTATATATTCTTTCAAATCTACTTTGATATTACATCAGATATTAGATGAAGCTTAATTTAAAGTAATTATTTTAATGCCAATGGAATGCATTTCATTTTCTCATACAAAATACAGATAAAAACTACGGAATGTAACCCGGAGTTAACGACGTCTGTTTGAACTGTCAGCTGATTGTGGGTGTTGTTGTGTTTCTATTGATTGTGGCTGATATTTTGACAGTGACTGTGTTTTGGTAAGTGAATGTCAGGTTTTCTTTGTAGAATGTAGTTTATATTTCTTGGAGACGTAATTTCTTGAGTGTTTTCTATCATGATAAGCTTTTTTGAGATGATATAAGCGAGTATTGAAATTCGTGAGAGTTGTGTGTTGTAGAGTGTAGGTTGTAGGTGTGTTTCGTATTTCATAGAAGACAGATAAGACTGATATGGTAGGTTATGTTTATTCTGTTTATTTTTGTATAATTTAAGGTAATTAGGCCGTCCATAACTGAAATGTTACTATTGAAGGCACAGTTTAGTGGTACGATATATAGTGGTTCGAAGCATATCAGATTCTACTCAGAAACTCCAATATTTGTGAAGTTGTTGCACTACCAGTCTTCTTACAGGGATACATAGTGTTTGTTAGAACTGTATGCTAACCTGGGCGCAGGTCAAATTTATGAGAACAGTTGTATTATGAGTATTATAGCTGTAGGTAGAACACATTATTTTTTGTGTAAAGCATAGTTTTTTTTGGTTCAAGTCAAAGTCTAACTTGCTTTTTAGTTTCAGAATTATATTGATGGTTGATTAATGTTTATTATTGTATAGGAAACTTGAAGCAATAATCTGTTTGTGTGATGATCAATTAAACTGACTATAATATAGTGTTTGGGAAGAGTATCTTGATAAGAGAAAACTTTAACAAGTAGGTTGTGATTTTACCCCTTTTTTATTTTATTTATTTATTTTTTTTTGCTTAATCAGTTTAGTAAAACAAATCTAATTTATATTCTTTGCCCATATTCCAAAGGCACAATGACCCATTTAGTAAATTTTGATTTGCCATTAATAAAAGGAAGTGACTATTGGTGTGGCAGAAATGCCTCTGATTGGTGTCCTGCGCATGCATGATGAAACAAACAAGATGGTGGTGTCTCGTCATGACAAGATGATACCATGCTCAGTTAGGTTTGGTTTAGTTTGGTCTGGTTTGGTTCAGTTCGTACTTATTATCCAGAAAAGACATTTTTATGGGCGTACGCATATGTGTCATACACCTAGTTGTGAGTTATCAGTTACGGCTGCTGTATGTGTAACACCAGCCGTGATGCAAATGTAAATTGTAGAAATTTTGAAGCCTCTGACAAATAATTCACTGGTTTCATGCCATTTGGTGTTGCATCCATACCAGTTGGTGTTCAGCCAAATGTCATTTTTATTTTTCATTGGACTTTAGAGTTAGACTTCCCTCGTAATTTATTGTCAACCAAGAAATGAAAAACTACCAAGTTATATTGCCAGTATATATACCTGATTGTTAGACTTCCCTCGTAATTTATTGTCAAATAAGAAATGAAAAACTACGGTTATATTGCCAGTTTATATACCTGATTGGAGATTTGGTGGCCTTTGGGAAATTGCACGGCAAAGAGGCCATGGGAATTGTTAGATATTGAGCCACCATTGGGTTGGATCCATTGTTTTAGGCCTCCCATATTATGATGTTGAAGTAATTAGGAAGTGGAAAATATAGGAGACTGGAATAAGGATTGGCTTTTTCTCATATTGTTAATTTTAGAAATGCTCTTATCATAGTGTTGCATTAAACCTCACACTTACTGATATTCTTTGCAAAAAGATTACATTATTGGTTTATATTTTATGAAGTACCTGCATGATTATTTAGTTTGATTAGAGATTTACTTGTCATTGCTCCAAACAGAAAAAGTAATGTAGAAAAGTTTCTTATCAAAAAAATAATCTAAAAAAAAAGATGAATTGAGAATGATCAACCACAAAGCAATTGAAGTGATATGCATTCTTTGATGTTAATTCTTAATCAGAATTATAAATTCAAATAAGATTACAATATATATGTAACCTGTCAAGTACTTCGCTGTTATCAGAAGTCTATGAATTGTCCCTTGTTTTTAGAAAAATTAACTTTGCTTTACCATAGGATAACTTAAAACTGTCACCTATTATATTTGCATTTCTGTTGTATGCAGTTTCCATTATTTTTCTTTTGTTGTAACTGAATTCAGATAAATGATTAATCCTTGGCCATAAGAGTATTCAAGAATTGGCATGGTAATAGAAGGAAAGACGATAGCTATAATTTGATTTACTTGTTTTTTAAATCTTGCATGGTGATTCTTTACATTCAGACTATATAGGATACAGGTATACAAGTACAGGGTATGATGCCCTTTTGAATATTCATAAATTTTCAAGAGCACCACTATACATGATTTGAAATACCAGCAAAGTTCTGTATTTGGAGCTAAGTATCCTACATTAGAATATGATTTCTGTACATCAGGGGCATGAAGAAATAACTTGTGTTAACTATTATTATGGCACAATCCATTATTCTCTGCTAAACATATCTCCTGATTTTTTTTTTTTTCAAATATGGGGGAGACTGTTACCACAAGTAAATACAAAGAAGAGGAAGAATGATCGTTTTGATATTATATGTTCATCAAGTTACTGCTGGCTTCTTAATGTAAATTTGCAGATGTAGACCAGTCAAACTTTTGCTAGTCATGAGTCAAGGATACAAAACATAAATGATACAATCAATCTTTAATTATGTTTCAGCAGAGTATAGTAATTTTTTCTATGAGTTCTTGGGCCGTGTTTGCATAGATTCTACATTTACATTTGTAAGAGTCCAATTTTTGTTTTGTAGGGTATAGTTTTGCAATTGGAAGAGTTTACCCTATAAATAATTCTATGTATTGGTTTCATGAAAATCCATTCTAAAACATTTGATGTCAGAGGGTCTGCAGTGGTAGTAGTAGTTTGTGCAGCTGTGGACAAAGTGGGTCTTCAAGAATCCTGACTATGATTGAAAGATTAAAAAGGGAATCTACTTGGAGTAATAGTTGCACTGCTGAAATCTAAGGTCCTTGGAAATAAGGAACTTTCTAAGATTTCTAGCAAGAGAGTTTGTGTTGCAAACTAATATAGATTTGTATGTTTCTTTTACTTTCTATTAGTATTTTTTTTTTTTTTTTTTTTAATATAGGGATAGAAAGTTTAACAAATGGAAAATATTCATAATCTGTTGTACAGTTTATTCTTTAATGTATGAGTTGCAGGTATAAAAATTCAAACAAATGGAATATATTTATATTTTATTCAAAGCAGTGCAATTTTCCACTAACAGTGGGAAAATATGAGACATATGTAATATCCGATAAGTAAAATATGTAATTACAGGTAGATGATATATCTCAACTTATACTATATACTGATATGCAGGATGAAATAATGCAGTAATGCACAGATTTACACAAATGACAACCTTCCTTGACAAGGACTCCGAACAAGCAGTACTAAACCTGCTTCACCACACAACCTTTAAAAGGTTTGAGGATCAAGCCCCTTTCTAGGTGGGAGGTAAATATATTGATGTGCGTAATCATATGAAAAAAGCTGAATGGAAATCTCAGGTTTTGCAGCCTTGAAAGCTAATATTGTAAAATGTTTAAGTATATACATTGAAATTATGAATAATTGTTAAGAAATGTGGCTTACAGATTTTGTAAAATGCTTTAACCTTGATTCATTATGTACCCAGTATTACTGCATGTTGGTTTGTGTATGTTTGATGCATAATGCCATTCATTGTATCACTGTAAATTACAATTAAATAGTCATTGGTACAAACTACACAAAACTAATGTATGAAATCAAATAGAAAATAAACAAATTCAGACAAGCTTCCAATGAGATAGGATCCAGAATATTGTAAATATATTTGTGATTTGTGGGATTGATATGAGTAATAAAAAGCTTTTTTTGTATGCTTCAAATAACTTCAGGTGGATAAATCAGGATTAAAAAAGGCCTATTTTTTACATTATCTTTTGATCAATGAATAATTGTCCATTAGAAACATTGTATATGTGATATAGAGGTTATAATTCTTAAGACCTAAAGACTGCAGGTATGTTATATCTCCCCTAATTATTGAAAAAGAATACATACATGTACTAACTATTAAATGTTTTCACAATACAGTAATCTGATTTTTACATTACAAACTCACACATTACTGAATGCCTTTTTACAAATGAATTTCAACATGATCACTTACAGTTATATATCTATATACATAAAGTACAGAACATTTATATACATTATTCATACAAGATTATTACAGAAATTATATATCTACTAATATTTATAATGCTAGCACGGGATTTGCTGATATGTTAACTGGTATCCTTGTCCTGCGTTTTGGCCGTTGCTTCGGAACTGGACGATGAAGGGCCCATTTGTAGTGTCTGGAATAAACGGGAAATTATGTAGCCTTTGTATATGTTGACAGCTTTATTCATAGGATGATAAAAGGCATAAATATCGCATAAATATTGATATTTTTTATTTGTTCATCTGTTGATGATAGTTTACTATGTGATATTTCTATAGGTAAGAATGTATTAATGTCAAGGACTAAGTCTGTCATGTGTGTTGTGTGTGTGTGTGTGTGTGTGTGTGTGTGTGTGTGTGTGTGTGTGTGTGTGTGTGTGTGTGTGTGTGTGTGTGTGTGTGTGTGTGTGTGTGATGGCTTGTTCATAACTGGGCATAAACCTTGTGACCTCTGTTGGTGATCTTTCTATAACTGTAAAGTGGGTTTATTTATATGATGAAATAATGGCATCAAATCAGTTCAGATACTCTCAGAATATTAAAAAATACTAGGAAGGCTAAGAGGAATTGTGAATAGTTTTTGACCGAGTCTGAGAAGTCGGTTCTTGTTACATTCTTCATAAAAAACAGTAAGACGTGTGAAGCATAGTCCCAGTCTTACCAGTCACTGGACATTGTCAGTCCGCGTTGGAACAGCCGAACCGTCATTTAACCGGTCGCCACACAGTCTGGTCCCAGCCACTATAACAAAATCATCCGGACACTGGATAAGGCCAATGCCAGCCTCTCCTGCCGGGACCACAGAGGTTGCCACACCTGCTAAAGAGGTAATGAAAGGCCAGGTAATAATTCATGGTGTGGTTAGATAACAATAAATAAATAAATAAATAAAGATCATGTGAGAAGAGAATTCATGTTCTGCCAAGAAGTTGAATAACAATTTTGTTTGTTACTATAGTTGTCGAGGGTCTTCATCTCAGTTATTTAGAGAATGGAGAACTTTTATGATGTAAAATGAAATTGTGGACACAAGTAATACAGTCACATTTCGTGCCTTATATAACTGATAATGTATATAACACTTTTCAAGCTATAAATTCATCATTACTATTGTTGTTATTATTATTATCAGTAATAGTTATTATTATTGCCATTTTAATTATTATCATAATTATCATTCCTCATTATTATTGGCATTCCTCATTATTAACATCAGTAATAGTTATTATTATTGTCATTTTAATTATTATCATAATTATCATTCATCATTATTATTGGCATGGGCAGATTGTGCACTTACTTGGAGAGATGACAAAGTTCACGAGTTCAAAGGACTGTGTCGCAGAGGTTGGTGTCGTTGTGTAGACAATGGAACAAAAGCCTGCCTCTTTCCGTATGCAGGTAGCATAGTTCAGGTTATTCTGGAAGTAACAGTTATGCTGCGTGATGCTTGCTCCTTCTTTTGTTTGCATTTACATGTTTTTTCACATTCAAGGATAGTGTATTTGAATGAAAAAATATTTGTCAATGTACAAAGTGGGGGGAAAATGTATTTGTGAATGTTAAAAGAACAATGAAATATTAACTTGTAAATGTAAAAAAGAGGCTAACTTATTTAAGGAGGGAAAAATATATTTAAGTAAAGGAGAAATATATATGTTTCAGGAGGAGGGAAAGTATATCTGTTAATGTTCAGAAGGAGGAAAAATATTTTTGTAAATATTGAAAAAAAAGGAAAACTACATTAGTGAACATTTAAATTGGATGAAAAATTATTTGTATTTTCTTCCAGTAATTCATTTGTCTCATGTTCCCTTTTGTAATAATTATTATTATACCATGATACCTGTAATCTGTTTATCTGGTAGTTATTTCTGTTTAGTTTATATTGAAATTGGTAGAAAATCAGTTCATACAAATGAATGATCAGTAACGTAAAAATGACGACAGCTTACCAAGTACTGTGAGGGTAAATTGGGAACGTAATTGAAAGAGGAAAAGGTTCCTTGGCTTCCTGTGAAATATTGAAGGCAGTTATTGGGTGGTCTGTAAGGGCTGTTGCACTCAATCTGAAACATAGTAGAAGACATTGTAAAGCAAAGTTTTATCCTGACATGTTTTTTTGGTTTTCAACTGTTTAGCTTTAAGGACGATTATAGGGAAAAAATAAAGCAGGTTTTATCTCTAGTTAGAGAGCCTTTTCTCTTAGTTTTGGTCTTGGAAACATTCTTGAAATTAGGTTAAAAAGCAACTTGCATCTTTACTTCAATGTTTTTTGTTCTTTTAAGGTTTAGCTTAAGAAACTTTGTGAAAAACATTCAGTAGTAAATTTTACTTCTAGTGTAAGAGTTTTAAGTGATAAATGGATTTTTTTGCTTGTGATCAGTGGGAAATAATGAACCTAATAGCCGTCCATGGAAATTGGCGTATTTTTCATATTTACCAAAATTCATTGTACTCTATGTAAGGTGTGGAAACATTATATTTGAAAGCTTTTCATTCTTAGCCATACCTTTTACTCAAGCATACCTGAAACACTTAATGACTTTGTATGTTTTGATTCTTACCTGAGTTACCTCTATCTCCCATTCTCGATCGAATCCACTTCCTACAGTGTTTATTCTTAACTCCACAGGTCCTGGTACAGTGTCTACATCAATGTACACTGTTGATAGAAAAAATTGTTGACTTTAAGAATATTTTTCTCAAGAGAGATAAGGGTTTGTAATTAATTATTAAGGGTTTTGCTATGATTTATTAAGCTTTTAGGATATATCAGAGACTAATTCTCATATAATTAATATATTGCAATGATAATAGCGTATGGTTCCAAATGTTTTACAGTTCCAATTACTTTTGTACTTTTATAATAGATTTATCAGTGTAGCGAATACTCACTATGTTGGCCAGAATTCTCTCCACAGAGTTTGGGGATAAAGTTGTTGATGTTTTGTCCCGATACAGCCAGGTGGTCTCTCAAGCAGTTTCCTTCATTAGGTGGTGTGAGCTGATGGGAGGGAGAATGATCATATAGTGGCAAAACACGGGAAAATTATTGTCTAATTGTGAGTTTAGAGGAAGAATGGTCTAGTGATTGTGACATAAATTAAATGGTAAAGATCCACTGGTGAGATAAAGAGAAGGATGGAATGTGGTTGAAAAATTAAGGAATAGTGGCATACCGATGGTGAGAAAGAGAAAGGAATAATGACTGTATAGTAAGGAAAATAAAAATCAAGGAAGCATGTCAAAGGGCGTGAAAGTTGAAAAGAATGGGCTATATGGTACACGCAAATTAAGGAAAATTAAATTTTTAAAAATTATAAAGTAAAAGAGATTACATAATAGCATTTTGTATAACTAATCTAATAATTGTGATTAATCATTTGTACTTAACGTATATAATTATTTCTATCACTGTACAAAGAATACTCGGGATATTTCATAATTTATATGCCATATGAAAAAGATATTTAATAAAGTATGTCCCATTACATACAGGCATTACCTACAGACATGGCATAGACATATATTACTGTATATGGCTTTTACTCATCAAAAACAGACATGGCATAGACATACATTGCTATAAGGCATATTCGTGTGTCTTATCTTGCCTTCCCTTCGTCGTTCCTTTGCAATCCGTTCAAATGATTCCACATACATTGCTATCTATGGCTTTTACTCATCAAAAATAGACATGGCATAGACATACATTACTATCTATGGCATTTACTCACCGAGAACCTGGAAAAATTCAGCCTTATGGAGCAGATGTTGTTGGAGAGTTTTCGGACCTTGAGGACGCAGGTGGCTCCGGTCGTAACTACCTGGCTACCTGGACCAGGAGAGGACCAGTAGGGGGCGTGCGGTTCCACACGATCCACAGCAGTCGTTCTCAATGGCTGCTAACGTAAGATCCATAAAACAAATAGGCTTTTGAGGTACCTGGTATAGTTGGTGGTTATGGATTGGGGATTTAGTTTTGTTTTTTTATGTTATTTTATGATTGTTATTAGCAATAGTGTAAGGTTGTGTTGTTTGTTGTTGTTGTTGTTGTGTGTTGTGGTGTGTGTGTGTGTGTTGTGTGGTGTGTGTGTGTGTGTGGTGTGTGTGTGTGGTGTGTGTGTGTGTGTGTGTGTGGTGTGTGTGTGTGTGTGTGTTGTGTGTGTGTGTGTGTGTGTGTGTGTGTGTTGTGTGTGTGTGTGTGTGTTTGTGTTGTGTGGAATTAATGATTCATTTGGTAATCAGATTGTTTTATTAACATTTAAGTATGATTCTTTCATATCTTTGAATATTCACACAAACTAGAAAGTAATTATTATTTCCCCCCATATAATCACTGCTCAACCCACCCACAATTATTATACAAATCAAGTTCTGCGAACATTCTTATATTACCCATAATAAACACAGCATAGTTTTTGTAATGATGCAATAGTTAGAGAGCATATCAGATATTAAATAGTCATTCTGTTTGTATTAATCACGATCAGGAGATTATTGTCTGTATATGCGGGGAAATCAGAATCATGACGTTTGCATGTTAATTTTCACTTCCGTTGATGTGGCGTGAAGTTATTAGTTCAGATTGAGGTGCAAGGGGAATGGGATGGGATGGGGATGGGGAGGGGATGGGGATGGGGGATGGGGATGGGGATGGGGATTGGGGATGGGATGGGGATGGGGATGGGGGGGATGGGGATGGGGTTATTAATCAGTGATTCCTAACCGGGGTTTTGCCGACTGTCCCAGGGGTTCCGCGAGAGAAACGTAAAATAATTGTGTTATTACGAAATGACAGGGATCTTAATTCACAGTTCCTACTTAAGAACACGTTACATATACTTTCCAGACGCTAACTTACCCGTTAGTACCATTTATGATGAACATTGTAGTATATGTGTTATATATTATGTTCCGCCAACGTGTAAAGGATAGGAATCGCTGATTTATGTGAACTAATGATTGTAAAAATATATGTGTATATATAGTGTATATAATCTGCTGTAACAGATTCCGAATTTGAATGATAGTGATTTATGCATTATGTTTTATTATTATTATGTGTGTGGTGTGTGTGTGTGTGTGTGGTGTGTGTGTGTGTGTGTGTGTGTGTGTGTGTGTGTGTGTGTGTGTGGTGTGTGTGTGTGTGTGTGTTTGCGTGCGTGTTGGTGAGTGGGGTTCGGGCCTGTTATGTTTTTTTTTTTTTTTTTCAGATCTTGTGAATGAATTTGCACTAGGGCAGTGGCGATGCGATAATTATCTTACAATTAAGAGGTTTGTTATGAATAAGTTGGGTGAATGGTGATTATCTGACATAAAAGTGATATATTTATGATAAGTAATTATTTGATAAGGTTGGTAATAATCGTTTGATAATTGATAGGATTATGATTATATGGGAATTGATAGGTTTGTAATGCTATTTGCAAATTTTGGTTAACTAGTGCTGACTGATAATTTAAAAAATCGTCTACTTTAAAATACATATATATGTGCAATTCGATATTCATTCAACTTTTTAGACACTACTCACGATTGGACTAAATCAGTTTCTCAATGAAAATATCCTTCCCCACCCCTCCCTCTCTCACATTTTTTTATTTAAATGTCTTTCACAATCTCCCCCCCCTCCTCCCTCCCCCCAATAAGCCCAAACTGCAATTCGTCATCATTTTGCAACCGCCATTTCGCTTGCAACTGTTGTGATTTCTGCATAGTTACGTAAGACCGGTGAAATTGCCTTTCATAAGTTAATATGGATTTTACTTATTTCGTATGCGTGGTGGCAGGGTTATGATGAAATACGTATTCGAAAAAAAAATATATACGTATATGTGTATTGGATGAGTTATTGTGAGAGGCGAGATTCCGTTTTCTTTTTTGACTCGTGTTGTGGGAAGGGGATACGCAGAGTTTTATTTTATTTTATTTTGTTTTGTGGATTATTTTTTTTGTTATTTTGTGGATTTGATCTTTGAGTGAATGTTTACGGTTTATTGACGCTTGTTGAAAATTAGGGAGGATGGCGAACTTATGGCAATATGATGATGTCGATGTTGACGTGTGAAATTTCGGTTCAGATGATCATGTCGTGAGTTGGGAAAGACTTTTTAAAAGTTTTTAGAAATTTGCGTATTTTGCGGTAGATTCTTGTAAGATGTAGATGTAGATATAGATAGAGATAAGATAATGTGTTTTTATTTCCCTGCATGCCTACTCTCTGCCTGCCTGCTTGTCCAATCTGCCTGTCTTCTTGCCTGTCTGCTGTATCTACTTTTCCCCCCCCCCCTCTCTCTCTCTCTCTCTCTCTCTCTCTCTCCTCTCTCTCTCTCTCTCTCTCTCTCTCTCTCTCTCTCTCTCTCTCTCTCTCTCTCCTTCTCTCTTCTCTCCTCTCTCTCCTTCCGTTTCGTAAGCCAAGGCCGAATATCCCACGTGGAAAACACCCCGAGATCACTTTCCCTTTTGTGAAGTCAGCTGTTACAACGAAAACACTTTCTGACTGTGGAATATGCAGACAACATTATAAGGTCGTTTGAAAATACTTGCAGTTGAAATGAAAGAAACGTCTGTTACCATTTCGTCTTACTCGAGAGGAAGTCAATTGAGAAATCGTGTTTGGTGCGTGTATGTGTTTTGTTGTGTGCGTGTTTCGGCGTGTAAGTGTTTCGCGTATACTCTCGTTGGCGTGTAGGTGTATTGGGATGTGCGTGTGTTGGTGTTTACGCATTGTCCGTTCTCTTGTTATGTACGTTTATTGGCGTGGACGTGTAATGGTGTACACGTGTGTGTGTGTGCGGGTCGGTTACTCTCACTCGACACTCGATACGCTCGACCCAGCTATAACACTGCCAACCAAAACGATTCTCCGTCGTATCATAATTTTTTTTTATGCTTTCTGATCTTCGACGATGGTGAAATCACAGAAATCTGACATTTCTCCCAAATGAGGGCTATGATGAGGTGTGCCACGTGCATAGTTTCTACGAGAGGGGTGGTTTGTTGTGATGCTGCAGTAGGCCTATATGGTTGATGTAGGATTCATACGGAAAGCATACTTATGGTTAACGGGGATGTAGGCCTATATGATTATGCAGGATTTATACGGAAAGCATACTTATGGTTGACGGGGATGTAGGCCTATGGTTTGCAGGATTTATACGGAAGCATACTTATGGTTGATGGAGGTATATGGTTATGCAGGATTTATATATAAAGCATACTTATGGTTGACGGGGATGTAGGCCTATATGGTTGATGCACGGTGAAGTAGGCTTATTATGGGTGGTGTGCGGTGTATACCGAAAGCATATTTAAGGTTGATACTGAAATAGGCATATGTGCTTGATGTTGGTTGTTTACTGAAAGCATATATACGGTTGATGCTGAAATAGGCCAATATTGTTGATGCAGGGTGTATACTGAAAGCATATTTATAGTTGATGCTAAGTTAGATTTATGTGGTTCATATTGATGCAGAATACGGTAAGCAAGATTGTAGTTAACACGGAATGTATATGGTTGGTAATGTAGGCTTATATGGTTGTAGTTGAATGTGTATGGAAAACTTTTAGCTGAATGTTTGGTTGACTATGGCTGACGCTGAATATATGAAGATGAAAATAGATTATGAATGTAAATGGAATAGCTGCATATAGTTTTTTGGTTGATGTTGGCATGTGAATTTTTGGTATCAGTTGATGCAAAATGGTATATATATATGCCACACACACACACGGGCAACACACACACACACGCACACACACACACACACACACACACACACACACACACACACACACACACACACACAACACACACACACACACACACACACACACACACATATATTATATATTTTATTATTTATTTATTTATTGTTGGTTACAGTTCCGAATTGCGTTGAAAACAAAAAATGGTTGATTACTTGTCTAATTTATATATGGTTAATTACAGTTGATGAAGAATATATATTGTGGGATTGTGGTTGATACTGAGTGCATTTGGTGCATTAATTTTTATAATTAATCACGGCGGCAGATTATCATCCAATATGTATTAACCAAAATGAAATAGATGGAAGCTGTCATTGATAAAATCGCAATAGAGATATATGTTGTGGATGTGGTAACCGTGCCTGATATAAACGCAGTTACAAAACTACAATCATCAATAAAAAAAAATTATAGAGATTGCAGATTTTCGGTGATAAATAGACATGGTAAAAGTGGTCGTTACTGCCAGGCGTAAATTGGTAATTACACAGGAATTAGTGGTCGATTTTGACGTAATGATGATAACGCTTTTTAATGGTCTCACAGCTAATTAAGAATCTTTTCGGCATACGAGTTTTAGGTATATTAGAGATGGTAATGAACGGATATTAATTGAACGTAAATGAGAATATGATCATAATTAGTATGAAGAGAAATTGACTGTAAGGATGATATTAAATAACGATTTAAAAAATGAAAATAGATAACGATTAAAAAAATGAGAATCTAATCAGAATTAGCATAAAGAGAAATTGACTAGAAGGAGGATATTAAATAATAAAAATACATGAATAATCGAATCAAAATTAGAATAGAAAAAAAACAACTTTTAAGAGAGAAACATTTAGGATAATGCATCAAAAACACAGGAATGTAATTAATAAATCGAGAGGAGATTGACTTTGAAAATGGGAGAGAGAGATTTTTAGAAAGTAAAAACCGGCGTGTGGAAGAGGCAGTAATGGCGCCATGGCAGTGAATTTTGACAATTTCCCTTGACAGCCCGTTTTATTTTTTTTTTATTTATTTTTTTTTTTTTTTTCTATTATGTTTTTATTTTTTATTGTCTTTTTCTTCTTTGTTA